TTTTGGTTTTTTTTGGGTTTTTGATTTTGTTTTGTTTTGTTGGGTTTTTTGGTTTTGTTTTTTTTTTTTCAAGACAGAGTTTCTCTGTGTAGTCCTGGCTGTCCTGGACTCGATTTGTAGACCAGGCTGGCCTTAAACAAGCAATAATCTACCTGCCTCTGCCTCCCTAGTGCTGGAATTAAAGGCGTGTGCCATCATGCTTGGTACACTTTCTTCATGTCCACTCTGCTCATCCAGTGTATCACCATAGATCTCTTGGGTCCCAGCTTAGCTTTTTATCTGCTGTGACAAGGCCAGGCAGTGGAGACCCTTGAAGAGTTAACACAACTCCAGGGAGGGGATACAAATGTGGAGGTTTGCATGTAGGCCTATGGCCCCACCGGAAAAGCCTTTCAGGGCCCAGAGTTGTTTCATTAGCTATGCCTCAGTCTCTCCTTAGCATTTTCCTTTTGAGCAAGGCTCTTAACTACTGAGCCATCTCCACAGCACAAGTTCTCCTTTTGGTTTGGTTTGGTTTCCCAAGACAGGGTTTCACTGTGTAGCCCTGTCTATCCTGGAACTCTCTCTGTAGACCAGGCTGCCTGTTTTCCAACTCAAGAGATCCACCTGTCTCTGCCTTCCGAGTGCTGGGATTAAAGGTGTATGCCACCATGCCCAGCTCAGCTTTTTTATTTTATTTATTTTTTATGAAAAACAAATTTTTGTTCTATTGTTGAAGAATTCAGATACACAACAAAATAAGAACTTTGGCAGGCCACTGTGCCCAGTTCTATTAATCTATCCATCTACCTGTCTATTCTCTACAGCAGTCCACATCATTTTCTGGATGCCTCTCAAAGAAAGCTGTTGACATTTGTGTTCCTTACTTTAAAACATCACTGTTTTCTTTATTCACTTTTTTCAGCTAATAGTATCAATGATTCTGTGATGTGTATTTAGTTTTGCTTATTTTTTAAAAAGAATTGATGGGGAGATGGCTCATGGACAGAATTTTTGCTGTGCATGCACATGTTCCTGAGTTCAGGTCCTCGGCACCCATGTGAAACCTAGGCCTGACAGTGTGTGCCTGTGACCTAGTGCTAGGAACACAGGGCTGTGGACAGGCACACCTCTGGAACTCAGTGCCAGCCAGTCTTGCCTAATTGCAGAGCTCCGGAGTCAGTGAGAAAGCCAGAGAAACAGCATTGCAGACCTTTCAGCCTCTCTACATACACAAGCATGAGTGAGGGCACTCTCCCACACACCAGGATCTCACTATCAGTGTTTTCTGTAATTTCCATAAAGCACTTTTAAAGGCCAGACTTGATTAAGTCAATTAACTTTTAACTTTCATTTATATTATATTGATTTATTTGTGAAGGGTAGGGAGGTGCCAGAGTGCATGTGTGGGGGTCAGAGAACAATTCACAGGAGTTGGTTCTCTCCATCCACCATGGAAGTCCCAGGGATTGTCTGGCTTGGTAGCAAACACCTTTGCCTACTGAGCCATCTCCCAGGATCTCTATTTAGTGGGGTTTTTTTTCTTAAGTAACAAAACCCATTTACTAAGCAGAATTTTGCAGAAAGGCTAATAGAGAATTGAAATAACAAAGCATTTCTTTGACTGAAGCATGCCATAACTACCATTCCTGCACATATGCCCCACGTATTCCAGCCCCACCCAAAGCCCTGGCTTCACGGAGTAGAGTTGAATGAAAATTGCAGGGCCATAATAACGCTAAGGATGGCTTTTTCCTTCTGGATCTTTTGCTTCCCTCTGGCTGTGTTGATGTTGTGCTGGCCATTAGCCTACAGCCCGAGCTATTAATCTTCTCTACAGCCTTTGGAGGATTTGTTTCAATGGCTGTAAAGGCATGGATTGCTGTTAGAGATGTATTTCAAGGTCTGTCTCTGTCGAGTGTTTATTAATAATCTTGTTAATCCCCACTCTAGTTCCCAGATCTAGCTAACGCCTGTTAGAGGTCCTTGGGGGGTATTTTAAATTCTCTCTAATTCTTGCATCCAGACACTTCCTTCTGCCTGAGTCCTCTCTGCTACTTCTGTTCATGAATATTTTACATTTAATCTCTACACAATGGTCATGGTGCACTGCATTTCTCAGAGAGACACTCAGGAAGTCCACAGTGTTTGATGGCACTGTGCCAGAGACCTTTGTAGTTGCTGCTTAAATGGTCCTCTACCACAGAGTGTGATAGAGATGCCACTGAGTTGGGGAGTTTGGCACAAAGGCTATCAGCCTAGCTTTGATTTTATGGGAACTGCTATAATGGGGTCACTGACTAGAGCTACTCAACAGTTCCCCAAGTCTCACCCCAGTCTCTGTTCTTCCTGAGTTTTCTGCACCCCATGTTACCGCTAATACCTCCAACCTCAGAGAAGAAACTGATGCACCTACCTGTGCCAGGACTATCTTAGCCCCAGTTGTCCAGGGATTTATATGCTCTAAAATCAACCTCAAGGAAAGACTATGAGACCGAACACTCATGCGGCCGGCAGAGTAGAGAAGGTCAAAGAGCAGTTACATAATTAAAAGGTTACAATTTAGGAGTTATCACTATAAAATGTCAATCCAGACTGCAGAGGCATCAAGTTTCTTCAAGGAGAAAATGGAGTCAGAAGGGTGGGACCTTGCTGAGGAGACAAAGAGATGTGGATAGACAAAGAAATGGTCAAAGGCAAAAAAGATGGACCACGGGAGCATAGCATCTTGAGGAAGCCAGTTCCGAATAGATTGGAAAGATAAAGCTTACAGAAAGAATGACTGAGGAGCCTAGAAACAGACCAGACCCTTTCTGGTATTGGTGCCACCTGCATGCTTACGGGATTTTCCATTTTAAAATCCCCTCCCTCTGGATGTCTTGGCCTAAGAGTATTGTCAGAGTCCAGCCATTGGGTCTCCACTGTGGGTAGCAACTACGAGGCCATTTGGGCCTCAGAGTATATAAGGACCACCTCAGGCATCTCGTCCAGTGTGCAGTTTGAAAGGACTCTCTCAGGGAGCTTTGCAGCCTGGGAAGATGAAGACTGAGAAGGATTGCCACTTGGGAAGTTATCTGAGACAAAGGCACTGCTATCCCCCACTTGCCACACAGAGCTCCTGTCACCCTATTTCCTCACCCATGGCAAAGGGGTGGGCACTGAGGCAGAGAAGTAGGCCAAGGTACTTCACTCAGGAACTTGAAAGCCATTATGGCAGTCCAGCCCACCCAGGAGCAGACAGGGTTAGGGTCCCTCCTCCAGACACCCTAAAGCCTCACCTCAGTAACAAGCAGGTGTCCATGCCCACTATCTTTATTTTTTATTTTATTTTCATGTGTATATGATATGTTTGTGTGCTCTTGTTCATGTGTGAGAAAGCAGGTATGCCCTATGTGTGAAGGTCAGAGGACAACTCAGAAACATTATCAGTCCTGGCATTTGTTTGTTTGTTTGTTTGTTTTTTGAGATTCTGTGTAGCCCTGGCTGGCATGGACTTGCTTTGGAGACCAGACTGGCCTCAAAGTTACAGAGACATGCCTGCCTCTGCCTCCCAGAGTGCTGGGATTACAGGCGTGCGCCACTGCGCCTGGTTCAGTCCTGGCATTCTACTGCTTTTTATTTCACTGCTGCACATTCCAGGCTAGCTGGGCTGTGAGCATCCAGAGGTTCCCTGTTTCTGCCTCCATCTCATACTGTGGGGACACTGGGGATGCAGATACTCAGAGCTCCTGAGTATACCTGAGCTCTAGGGATTTGAACTCATGCTTGCATAGCAAGTCACTGAGCCACTTCTTTAGACTTCACTTCCTTTTAAAGGGGTCACCAGGAGCTACACATCCCTAGATGTGATACTGGGCTAGTCCTGGTGCCACAGAGGTCAGAAGAGGGCATCAGATTCCTGGATCAGAAGGCCTCCTTGTGGTTGCTGGGGCTCCAACCCAGGGCCTCTGTAAGAACAAATGCTCTTAACCACTGAGACAACTATACAGGCCTGAGAGTAAGAACATTTTAAAAGAAGAGTTGGTCATCCTAAGAGAAGTGCATCTTTAGCTTCCTCTAAAATTCTGCATCTGACAATTATGAAAAATATTCATAACATCTTTGTTTATTCCAGAAAAAAAGAATTACAGCAAAACTCAAGTATTGCCTATAATAGAGAAATGATTATAAAACAGTAACATCTCAAATCTAGATGCAAGTACTGCTTAACCTGAATAAAATCTTCAGTCTCCCTCAAAGTAACAGGAGTTGATCATCACCTTCTCAGAGTATAGATGGCTTCAGACAGGGTGGGCCAGGGCCCTAGATCTCATACAGGGAGGGCATTTTGGAGAGATAGCAAGGCTAGCTAAGGGCTCTGGGAAGCATAGGGTCTGACCCAGAGTCGAAGGCTGATGAGAGCTAGTGCCAGGGCTAGAGCAAAGCCTGCACACCCACAGTAAATGCCTCCCTACCTTGTCATCAGCACAAAACTGCATGGTCGCCCACGGTTTGGCCACCATTCCCATTCAGCCTTCCAGGAGACACTCCTTAGGACTCATCTGGAATGTCAGAAGTCCTCATTCCATTGTTTTTACCTTTTTTTTTTTTTTTTTTAAGTCTGTGGCTATAGCCAGTTGGTTGTCTAGATCCTACAAAGAGGAAACAGAGAAAGAGGGCTCTCAGGGAGTACCTGCTCTGACTTTAATCCACATTAAGCTCAGGACTTGGAAAAGCCAGAGAGCCAAACAGCTCATATGAGAATTTGTAGAGGAAGCCCTGTGGGATTTAGGCAGTTGCATGGGCTTTCAGGAGCAGCCTGGGTTGCACAGGACTCCTGCTGGATGTGTGTAGGGCATCATCTTGACTCTTCTGCTGGGGTCACGGTAAATGAGTCTGCCTCTCTCTCCCTGAATACTAGCCTGTGCAAGAATAAATGCTCCCAGACACCCAGGGGGCAGATGAGAAGGTTTGCTTCAGGATTCAGGGCAACCTCTGGGATCTCATGCTAATACTCCCCCTTCTCTCTACTTTCTGCCCAGCAGGACCCAGCCGCCGCCTCTGTCTCCGATGGAGACTGTGACGCCCGGGAGGGTGAGTCAGTAGCCATGAATTACAAACCATCCCCGCTCCACATGAAGCTGGGTGAGTGTGTCTGGGGAGGAGGGAGATGCGGGAAGTTAACAGAAGTGCTTTGGGGCTGGGTTTACAGCAAGGTGCTACAATTAAAGTAGCTCAGGCTAGATGATTGGCACTCCCAGGCACCTCACGTCTTGCAAGACAAAGAAGGCAGTGACGGTTCTCTTCAGGGTCCTGAAACTCTAGGAGAGATCCCTGAGGCTAAGTGCCCCAGGTATTTTAGGGGTGGCCACAAATGTAAAGCATAGATAGAACCCCAGGCCAGAACTCAGAAGGGCCAGCCAAAAGGAGCCTGCCTACAAATGATAGGGTAGCTGCTGCTATAGTTAAGGGACAAGGTCTCTGGGTCTGAGTGACTTCTGTCTGAGGAGACTGTCCATTTTGTAGTGAACTCCAGAACACCTCTCCTTTCCAGATATCATATCACGTTTCTCTTAGGGAGGACTCCATCTCCACTCTGATGTCCGTTGACTGTTTTGAACTCGCCTGACTCCCACAGCAGCCCCAAGAACTGTGACTGCAGTTCTTACTCATCTCACTTCATGGACCAAAATCTCTCTCACTGGTCCAAGGCTGCTGTAGATAGCAGACTTCCACCAAAAGGTCAATTTCCTGAAGAAAAATTATAACATGTCACACACAGAGAGATGGCATTCGAATAGAGGCCGCCACTATCCTCAAATCCTCTATCATTCTAGCCATCTTTCTCCCAGGCTCTAGCTGCTCACCAAACACTGGGATCTTCCTCAGTTAAGACTGAGCCTCTTATCACTTAACAAGCTTCCCCTCCACAGCTGTTAGGACTCTTTCCACAGAGCCTGTTCTTTTAATCAATTCAAAAAGAAAGAAAGAAATAAAACAAACAGACCTTGATTCTCTCCTAGACCAAGAAGCCCCTCTGGTTGGTTTTCTATACAGAACAGTTCTGTCCATGGAACTGTTTGTCCTCCTAGGACTTTCTATTCAGAGTACAGCCAGTTTTGTTTATTATTGTTTAATGCAACAATAAAAGTATTTTAAATGCATGTAAGTTCTCTGTTCTCTCCGGAGGCAACCATTCCCAGTTCTCGTAACTTCATTTCGTACTTTTGCACAAGTGTCATAGCGTTGTACACATTTTGTGAGCCTTTTTCCTCCCCTGCATGATGTCTCGGAGCCCCCGTAGAGAATGGCTTCACTCTTTTAAATGGTTGCATAGAAGTCCGTAGTCTGAGTCTTGTCAGATTATTGTTGGCATTTTTTCGTGTGTGCTTTTAAAATAGCATTTCTATTTCCTTCACCATTGTATTACCACCAAAGCTCATGAAAATTCATGACTTGTCTCACGGAAAAGAAAATCACCAAGAACTTTAAAGCAAATTGTACCCCCTAGAGGTTTGATGTGGTAATGGCAGTTGCTACCTGCTGAAAAGAGGTTGGAAAAGTCAAATAGAGTCAAAGGCAAGCAAAGAAAGAGGTCAGAGAGAGAAAATGAGAGCTTCAAAAGCATGGAAACCAAAGAATATTTTCAAGTGAGTCACGGGTGCCATAATGGCTCCTTCCATCCTTTATGATAAAGAGACAACTTTCCCTGTGTCTCTTCATAGACAGGCCTTTTCCCTGCATCTTGGTTTTACTTGGCATAAGTGTTTGAGCTTCTTCTAGACCCAGGCAGCTCCTGGTAGTAATAGTCATGTATCATGCATCATGTCACCAGATGTCCAGCCCCACAAGGGCAGTGTAGGCTCTGAGCCCCTGGAGAGCTTGTGGACTGGGTTTCCCAGCCTCTTGCCCCCTATCCTGGCCCTGACCCCTTTCCACCTCTTCCACTTGAAACCTTTTGCATTCACATTAATCCCAGATGCCACAGTTCCATGGTCAAGGCTTTTATGCTGAGCTTTGTTGTTGTTGTTGTTGTGTTGTTTTGTGTTTTTGAGATGGGGGGTTCTCTGTGTGCTCTGAGTTTATAACCACCGGGAGCCTTCCATCTCTGTGACACTGTACTTGGTATATAATTGTGATTCTGGTATCTGTTGAGTGAATAATTAACTAATAAGGGGTTCCTTTCCCAGCTTCACCTCTTCTCCCCTCCATTCCATTTACACCCACAGTTATGTTCCCTTCTTGATTTGTTTTCGTAATACTCTCCTTCTTAATGTCCTCTCCCTCCAGAAAGGCCTCTCTAACTGCTTCAGCATTCTGTGATCATCTCTTCCTCACTAGCCCTGCCTTGGCATCAAGCACACACTGGCTGCCTGACATAGGAACTGTGGTTCTTGCAAAGTAGGGGTCAGCCTCCTCTTTTCCTCTACCACTATCCCTCAAGTTCTGCAAGGCCAAGTGCACATCCAGTAAGCATCAGGTGCCTGGAGGTCCCAAGTAGAGCAACAAATGTAAGAAAGGCTCAGACCAGGCTATCCCAAACTGCAAGGCCAGGTGGCCCTGGGGCAGGACACAGCTTCTTTCCCATGTTCTCCTGCAGAGAAGCAAAGGGAGCTGGCCCGGAAGGGTTCCCTGAAGAATGGCAGCATGGGCAGCCCTGTCAACCAGCAACCCAAGAAGAACAATGTCATGGCCCGGACGAGGTGGGCATCCTCTCTGCCCCACCGTGACCACAGCAGCCAACACCTACCATTGCTGGTCTCCAGCCTCTCCCTCCTCAGGGGAATCCAGGGGGGAGAGGGGAGGAAAATGTGGGGGCAGGACCCCAGCCAGTCCTCTGCCATGTTTATATGCTCCAGCTGGCACTCCAACGCCCCAATTTTTTACCCAGGCTGGTCGTCCCTAATAAAGGCTACTCCTCGCTTGACCAGAGCCCCGATGAGAAGCCACTGGTAGCTCTTGACACAGACAGGTGTGTATGGGACCTGGGGGCAGCTGGGCAAGCCACATGATTCTATGTGAGCATGGATGAGCTGTACAGGACATGCCTGTCAGGCTGTCAGAAGCGGTGTGCTTTTCCGCCAGGGGCTCTCCGTGGGTGAAATTTCCCAAGGGGTGGATCCTTTCAGGAGTAGGCAGGGAGAGGATGGAGATAGCAGGCTCCTGCTGTCCTGCAACTAACTGTTCCACGGCTGCTCCATGACAGACCCTGATGTCTCTGGACAGCAGAATCGAATGTCTAAGTGCCTCATCCCCATCTCAGGGAAGAACCCTATTCTGGGGAGCACCTGGCTAGCCACAGACTTTGGGAAATCCAAACAGCCAGGATGATTTGAATCTAGGATGAGAAAAATTAAAACAAAAACATGAAGATGAGGCAGAAAGAAAGAGGTGGTAGCAGTTCTATCCAGAGGGAATTTAAGAAGCCACTTCTTTAAAGGTCGAGGTAGGAAACATGCCTTTGCAAACAGTTATTTGCATAATAAGCATGAGTTTTTTAAATCGTACTGTTGGAGAGGGGCGGGTATGGCAAAGATGCAGAGAATTTTCTATTTAATTTCCTGAATTACTTCCTCTCTCTCCTCTGGCCAGCGATGATGACTTTGACATGTCCAGATACTCTTCTTCTGGCTACTCCTCTGCGGAGGTGAGGCTCTACCCCTTGCCTCTATAGACCATGAGAGCCGGAGCCAGACCACCTCTATCTACCCGGTAGCAAGGCTGGGGCTTTTAAAGGGCGGAAGGATGTCTCGTGGGAGCCTGTGGGGGCGAGGCTCCGCGTGAGGCGGGGCCTGGGCTGGGAGAACTTGGGAAGAAATCACTAACCTGAATTACCGTGAGCCCGGTGTTATTAAAGCGAGGCTCTAAAATAGAGCAGATGTGAAATGCAGGCCACACCTTACAGGAGTGGACCTGAAGCCCCGAACAGAATCAGGAGTAGAGGTGAGAAGTTGACTTTGGATTGGGCAGGCCTCAGGAAGCGCTGCCTGGAGAAAGTGAAATAGACCTGGAATGAGAGGGGGCTGTCCGCGTGGCCTGGGGGTGGAACTGCGGCCCCAGCCCAGGGTGACGCCCTCCCAAGCTGACTCGAGCCTTCTCTACAGCAGATCAACCAAGATCTCAACATCCAGCTGCTGAAGGACGGCTACCGGCTAGACGAGATCCCCGATGACGAGGACCTGGACCTCATACCCCCGAAGTCCGTGAACCCCACCTGCATGTGCTGCCAGGCCACGTCCTCCACCGCCTGCCACATTCAGTAGCGGGTGGGGTCGCCGCGCGGCGCGCGGGGCGGGGCTGGCCCGGGCAGGGTGGGACGCAGCAGGGGCGACCTCTACCCAGCTGGTCCACCGGTCCCTGGCCCCTCGCCCCTTACAGCCGCCAACCTCGTAACAGTCATTGCTTCCTCCTATGGTAGGACTTGTACCTCTGTGTGTTCATGTAGCCGGAGAAACCAAAACCGGGTCTGTCTCCAGTCCCGGGGCTGAGGAGGGGTGGGCACACCCAAGAACCCTGCCACCTCTCCCAAGGCTGCAGTCAGGGGGCAGCACTGAAGGCCAAGAGGCCAACTGCAAGCAGTCCTGTGAAGGAATCGCAAGGCCTGAGGGGTTGGCCCCACACCAGTGAAGCCATAAATCCCCCAAGCCCAGCCTGGAAAGGAAGGAAAGGGTTTGGAGAAGAGAAGGGCCCTAGTAATGGGGCAGTTCTCAACAGCTCAGAGGCCCTCGCTGGCCCTGTGCCACATACACCTATTTGTGTTCTAGCCTCATCTCCGGGTGGGAAGCCTGGCAGCGCTGTGTAGAGGAACACTGTCCCTGCGCTAGAGCACTGCCTTCTCCCTCACTCTTCCCCTGCTTCCTGGCTTTCTGAGGGTTGGGAGGGTAAGATGGGCCTTAGAGAGGAGCCTCTAACCAATGTGGCTGCCCCTCTGCCTCATCCCTACCCCCAGTCTTCTGTCTGTCGGTTCCAGGCTGGAGGCAAGAGAGAAGGCTGGCCTCCAATGCCCCATTCCATTTCACCCTAGCCCAAGGTCCGGGAGGCTGGCGTCTAGAAAGGGGCTCTTCAAAGAGCAAACTTAAGCGAATACAATGTACGGATTGCCTGTATATAGATGGTAGGTGGTGAGTGTGTGTGTGTGTGTGTGTGTGTGTGTGTGTGTGTGTGTGTGTGCGCGCGCGTGCGCACATGTCTGTCCAGGTCAACCTGGTGGTCAGTCTGTGATGGGGAGATGACTGTGTTCTATTAGTTGTGTGAAATGCTGCTTGAGAGTACAGTGGACTGAGGGCAGGCAGATGCGTGGGTTCTAGTCCCAGCTCTGGCATTCTTCCTGAACTCTTGAGCAATTCCCAGGCTTCTTCAGGGCTTCAGTTCTCTGAACTGAGAAATAAAGAATAGCTGATATTACTGACAGAGTCTTTTTATACCTGAAGGAATTTCCTCACAGAAATTTCTGCAGAAGACTATGTGTGTTTTTAATTCATGTAGGAGGTACCCTGAGTTTGTGTGTGTGCATGTGGTGTGTGTGTGTGTGGCTGCACAGGGTGTCCTGCATACTGTCGCTTTCTGCTGCTGTTGCTGCTCTGAGGGAGGAGCACTGAGGGTGCAAACTCAGTGAGGAGATGGTGGCTCTCGCATGGCTGAGGACAACTGAAAGCACACACAGCCTCACACTGCTAGGCCTGTGCCCCTCCAGCCTCCTCTCACTGAGCCAGTGTGGCCAGACTCCTTCAGACACCCATACACGCTGTTGTTTCCACTGTCTGGGTGCCCCATCCTGGGAGCTGGAGTGGGGCGGTGAGAAAAAGAGTGGAGCTGTTGGCTTCCAAAGGGAAGCATCTCTTCCCCACACCACACCCAGGGGCTCCACACTCCAGGGTGCTGGAGTGTAGCTTTCCACTCCCCGCACCACCAGCCTGGCTTCCCTCCCCTAGTGCAGAGATCCTAACTAGATAATGAGAAGGTGCAGAAGGCAAGTTAGAGAAAGCTTCTGCAGGGGCCACGAGCCCCAAAGTGGCCCACATCTGAGCTCCCTCTTCCCCCTGCTTAGCACCCCCAGCACCCATCATCTGGGCCTCAGAACTGGAACTCCTAGCACCCCACCCCACAGGCTCTTTGACTCAGCCTTCTGGAGCATGGGTACCTCCTGTCTGTAGACTGCTGCCTTCGCTGCTCACTTCTGCGGGCTCTTACTAAGTGTCTGCGGTCCTGAGATCCAGGGGAAAGCCCCCTCCCACAGGAAACACTAGTTCACTAGCCGGCAGGGCTTTAGACTGAGGTGGTATTCCACAGCAGGTAGGGTAAGAAGCTGGCCTCTGAGTCCAAGGAGAGCACACAGTCCCCGCTCCCCGTCTGGAAGTTGAAGGGGAAGAGCCAGGGCATTGGCTTGCTCCTGCCCCCACCCCTGTAGATACTGCCTTAACACTCCCCCACCCTCGGCTGCAGCTGCCACCCAGCCAGGTTTCTCCGAGCTCACTAATTTATTTCCAAGAAGGTGTGCGGAAGACATGAGCCGTGTATAATATTTTTTTTAACATTTCCATCGCAGTATTGACCATCATCCTTAGTTGTGTATTGTGTAACACAAATAATGATATTAAAAGCATCAAACAAGCCAGACTCAACTCCTTACCTGGGGTGTGGGCCGCGGCAAGGGAGGTGAGGAGGGGAAAACTGACCCTGATGTGCATGTCCCTCTACTCTGCTTGTTACTGATGTGTGGGCCTAGGTGAATCACGACCCCTCGGAACCTCTGCCTCTCTTCAACAATGAGAAATTTCTCCAACACGCTCCCTAGGCCATTCTGAACCCTTGGGACTTGGTTAAAGTCAAGAAAGGGGCTGGCTTCAGGAGGAAATTGGGTCTTTTGTACAGGGATGTGGCCAAAGCAGGTGATATCACAATGGGCGCTGCCCATCCTGGAAAGGAAGCTGGGAGGGGTAGAAGCAGGGAAGCTGCAGGGTCCTCCAAAAGAGGGGCCACAGCAGCGAGGGCCACCTTCCAGGCTGGAGGTGTGGGCTGGAGGTGAAAGGGTGGTCACTGATATCCAGCAGGAGTCATTGATAGGCAGAGTCCACTGCAGCATCCCTGAGACCCCACCATGTTCCTCTTCTCCCGGAAGACCAAGACCCCAATCAGCACCTACAGTGACTCCTACAGGGCTCCGACCTCCATCAAGGAGGTCTATAAGGACCCACCTCTATGGCCCTGGGAAGCCAACAAGTTTGTGACCCCAGTAAGTAGGGAGGCTGCTGGCGGGATGGATACATATACAGTCATGTGTGGCTGGCACACAGCCGTCCTTGTGTTTGTAGGCATTTTCAGTTTTGTTTTCATTCCACTCATGTATTTGTTTATTCACTTATTTATTGAGACAACGCCTCACTTTGTAGTCTAGGCTGGCCTTAAGCTTGCCATGATCATCCTAAATCAGCCTCCCAAGTGTTGGCTGGGATTGCAGGCATGAACCATGTCCAGCCACTTTGTGATTGCTTTGCATTTGTTAAGATAGGTTCTAAGCTGACAGGTGGTGGCACACACGTTTAGCGTCAGCACTCCGGAGGCAGAGGCAAGCAGGTATCTGTAGGTTCAAGGCCAGCCTGGTCTATAGAGGGAGTTCTAGGATAGCCAGGGCTACATAGAGAAACCCCGTCTCAAAAAACAAAAACAACAAAAAAGAATAGAAGAGCTGAAAGTTACAAGTGACCAAGATGTGCAAATGTTTGTGGGGTGTGGAAATGTTTTGGGGTTACCTGTAGAACAGGCCAGAAATGTCCAAAAGTCATGTCTTTCTACATGGGTATCGCATTCCCTTCCCTTGGTCTGGGGAACAGAGTAGAAACAGTGAACAGAGGGAATTCTAGAGCCTGTGGTGGTAACAAAAGGAATCCATGACTAGAATTTTTACAGATGTCTTTGTCTAAACATGCTCTATAGAAATGAGAAGGAGGGGAACTTGGAGGAACGCAAATTGAAGGCCAAACTGGGCTGCAAAAGGATCCTTTTCTCAAAATAAAGCCCTAAATCTCACATAAAGTTAATTTTTAACTTTAATTTTGAGTGATAAGACAGGGTTGCCTGACAACAAATGTCAATGCCAACACTGTGAGAGACACTTATTAAACTAACTGAAAGTAGAGGAAGTGAATATGTGAACTGTGGACTGAAACACAGGCCCAATGTCTCTGGCTCTTTACACACACACAAACTATACACGCACATGCACACACTTATTCACTTGCTGTATAACTTCTGTGGGAGAAAACCTGACTGCAGATCTTTAGGTGTCCAATGGGAGGCCAAATCACAAGTTTACACTAAGACAGCAAATGAAGGCCGGTGGCGCTGCTCACTGGTAAGGCACTTGGCTAGCATGCATGAGGCCCTGCATTACACCCCAATGCTGCTTTTTGAAAGAGAGGGAGAGAGAAAGATGGAAAAGAAATAAGATGCCATAATTACAGAATTACCAGAAATAACAGACTTTACCACCGAGGATTTTGTATACTGGAATTGACAACAAATTTTTTAAACTTTAACTGGAATGGCAAGAGGTGTAGGTCAGAAGTTGGTTTTTGATAAGACTCAGACATATATCTAAAGATTGCTCAAGAAAGACAAGACACGAATAAAAACCACTTCTAACTGAAGATCTAGAAAATAGCTGAGCAACCTTAGTTAAACTGAAAACAAACGGAAAGTTGTGAAGCGCCGTGCTTGCCTGCAGTTTCAGCCACTTGGGAGACTGAGGTTGAAGAAGCTTGCATTTTTTTTTAATTATTTAGTTTATTATGTAGACAATGTTCTTCCTGCATGTACACCTGAACTGATCTGAAGAGGGTATCAGATCTCATCATAGATGGTTGTGAGCCACCATGTGGGTGCTGGGAATTGAACTCAGGACCTCTGGAAGAGCAAGCAGTGCTCTTAACCTCTAAGCCATTTCTCCAGCCCAGAAGCTTGCATTTTAAAGCAGCCTAAGAGCCAGCTCAGAAGCGAAGATGAAGTTTAGACCACGTAATTACTATTTAGCTTTAGTGCACTATGAGGTGTGAAGCCTTAAATGTGTACAATAAACTTTGTGTCTGTAACAAAGCCTGAGGAAAGGTACCTGGCTGACCTGAGTCAGTCTCGGGCTCACATGGTGGAGAGAGAGCAGACACACACACACAAATGTAAAGGCCAGTGTGGCACATACCTTCAATTTCAGCACTTGGGAGGCAGAGGCAGGTGGATCGCTGTGAGTCTGAAGCCAGCCTGGTCTACACAGCACGTTCCAAGATAGCCAGGGTTACACAGAGAAACCCTGTCTCAAAAACTTCTTTCCATCAGGGCTAGGAAGAGGGCTCAGTTTGTGAAGTGGTGGCTGTGCAAGCGTGAGGATATAAATTCAATTCCCAACATAAAAAGCCAGGTGCAGTGACCCGCTCCTGTAACCCCAGGGCTGGAGAAGCACAGACTGAAGGAGTCCTGGGGCTTTCTGGCTACTCATCCTTGGTGAGTGAGCTCTGGGTCCAGTGAGAGACCCTGCCTCAAAAATAAGGCAGAGAGTGATAGAGGAAGACACGAGACATTGACCTGATCTTGGGCTTTTGCACAATGTCCATACATGTGCAGTTGCGCACACACACACACACACACACACACACACACACACACACACACACAAAGAATTTCCCAAACAGGTATGAATTACATATATTAATTACAAAGTTATAGAAAGCCATAGATGAATAAACATACCATCTATGAAGAGCATATATGGAAACAATATTCAGCAAAAGTGGTTGACAGTAAAGCTATGGAAAAAGATTCATCAGGCTTAGGGTGGCTGCTTAGTAAGAAAGCCAGTTATTCATATGGATAAAAATAAAATTAATACCTAACTTACACCACACCCAAAATGAAATTCCTGGCAGATTAAATATAGAAAGTAATACTGTATAGCTTTCAGAAGATACAGGATGTTATTTCCATTATCTGAGAGTATGGGTTTGATTCCTTTCGTCACAAAAGGCATTAACCATCAAACATTAATAATTCAACTGGTTTAAATTAAAAACTTCTGTTCATCAAAGAAGCCATAAAGAAAATTAAAGAAAAAAAGCCACAAACTGAGAGATTTGCAACATGTAACTGATTAGCATACAGAATACATACAGAGGGATAATCCTCTGGGTTAAAATTGAACACACATGCATCCTGACCCCTGCCTGAAGCTACAGTAAATGGATACTTGAGATCTAGAGTCACAAGGATGGTGAGAAAGGACGAGAAAAACCTGGCAAGAGGAAAACGTGACAGAGCAGTAACTGACCTAGCACATCTGAGAGACGGATGGGAAGCAAGCGGTGGGAGGCCTGATACCATTTAGCTTAGGACACAGAATTCAAAAAAACTTAGGGACTGGAAGTTCTGCTTCTCTGAAACTGAAGGTGGGACAGCAGGACCAAGGCTAAAATAAGGATTATTTGAAAGTCATTTAAGAAGCAGTTAAACCTACTAATCATTTCTATCCCTTGCCTCAGGGTGACTTCCTGGCTCTGAAAAAGCCACAGGGCGTTTTTTTTCCCCCTTGGCAAGAATCTTGAAGGCAGATGAGCATCCATATACTGACTGTTGAAATCCCCTCTTCTGTGCTGGCAGCCAGGCCATTAGCTTAGGCCAAAGATTAAAGGAGCCTTTCCAAAGAATTGGATCCCCACTAGGGGTGAGGTGTGAGGGTACTGGTGGTAGAGTCTGCAAGCAACAGCCCAGCCAGCCTAGCAGTGGTGCTGGCAGTTGGCAACATTACTCAAGACTTCAGACACAAGCTTTTCAGTTTTCTATTTATGAACAGGGTGGAAGATCACCAACATCTTAGGAAAGTATCTAACACAAAAATGGATGAAGCCTGTGAGTTCTTCTAAATGTGCGTGCTCTCTCTTTCCGTCTGTGTCTCTCCCTTCCTCCCTCTCTCCCTTCTCCCTCTGTGTGTGTATATGTGTGTCTGCATATAGGGGGGAGTCAGGCAGGGACCTCCTTTAATTGCTTCTTTTTTTTTTTAATGTTTTGCTTACATGTATTTCTGCCCACCATGCATATGCCTGGTGCCCATGGAAGTAAGAAGAGTGTCAGATCCCCTGGAACTGGTGCTGGGAAGCGAGCCCAGGCCCTCTGCAAGAACACGTGATCTTAACTACTGAGCCATCTCTCCAGCATCCTCCTTGGGTTTTTGTTGTTGTTTTGTTTGTTTGTTTATTTGTTTGAGACGGGGTCTTTAGCAGAACATGGAACTCAGAGATGCACCTGGTCTTCCTGACTGGTGAGCTGCAGGGAACTGCCTGTCTCTGCTCCCTGCTCCCAGTGTAGACACTGTAGGCATGCTTTTACGGCTCCTGGCTTTTTTACAGTTGTGCTGTAAATTTGGGTTTCCATGCTTGCCTAGCAGACGTTTTACTGATAGCTGGTGCATGTATACCTGAGTGTTCAGTGTGCTTATTATGTGCATATATGGATGCACACGTGTGTATATTTAAGTGTAGCTAGATTCTGTGTATGTGAAGCTCAGGGAAGTGCTGAACATTAGCACCCTTGCACAAACAGCTCTCACCCAGCATTCGAGTGTTGCTGTGCCAGATAAGGCAGGACAACATCAGCTAGGCACATGTTATCCCAGGAGGTCATGAACTAAGGATTTTTTTCCCCGAGCAACCAGCCATCAGCCACACACACAAAAAGCCTTTTACCCTTGAAATCACAGAATCAAGTATAAGTAGCCTCAGCTACCTTCTCAGATTGGCTGTTTATAGAGATCCATGAAACCTGCATTTTCTTTGGCATTCTGCCCTCAGCTGAAGACAAGGGGACTCCCCAAAGAATGTTGTTTGAGTTTCCTGTTCAAACAAGAAGTGATGGGCTGAGGTGAGATGAGCATCAATAAGTAGAGGGGCCCTGAGTCCAGAATATGCACAGGAGAAATATCAAGGCTGGATGAGGATCAGAGCAAAGTGAATCTCAAGGTCAAAGGTAATAATACTGGTGTCAGAGTATGGGCCACAGCAGAAGCAGGGTCTGACTAGAGACAGGATATTACATTTTAAAGCAGGTATCCCAGCAAGCCATCCTTTGGCTTCAAAGTCCCAGAGGCCCTCCCTATCCAAGAAGTCCAGCCTTTCCTGAAGCTCCAGGGTATGTCCACTGGCCCTGTAGAGGGGACTCACCAGTGAGTGCACAGTCCAGAAGAGACACATCTTTTACCTTTGGAAGCTCCCTCCCAGCCAGGAAACAGCAGAAATGACATCAACCAGACCCTGATTCCAAGTGTCAACTTTAGATGAGAAAACAAGAAAAAAGGGAAGGGGGCTAGAAAAATGGCTCAGTAGTTAAGAACACTGTCTGCTCTTCTATAGGTCCTGAGTTCAATTCCACATGGTGTCTCACAACCATCTATACTGCACACCTCTTCTGGCGTGCAGGTGTACATGGAGACAGAGCACTCACATACATAAAATAAATAAATCTTAAAAAAGGGGGGGCAATAAAATAGTTAAAAACAGGTCTGAGCACTGCAGAGATGGCTCAGTGGTTAGAGCACTGGCTGCTCTTACAGAGGATTTAGGTTCAGTTCCCACCACCCATATGGCTCCCCACAAATGTCTGTAACTCCAGGATTCAAGGTTCTGGTGTCCTCTTCTGGCCTATTCAGGCACTGCATGCCTGATTACGTGTGTGTGTGTGTGTGTGTGTGTGTGTGTGTGTGTAATCTCGCACACACACATATACATGTAGACAAAACACTCATAAACAGAAAATTAAAATTAAAACAAAAGTAGGTCTATGCATAAGGACCAGTGTGACATGGGAATCCACCCCTCATGTACTAGGGGTAGGTGGGAATCCAGCCAGGCTGATCTTTTGAAGAAAGACTAGGATGACTTCAGCAAGGTCCCGAGGCTTCGGATCTTCCTGCGCCTAGCCACTTTTCCTCTCTCCCTCTGCTCAGGGCCTGACTCAGAGTATGCATCGCCATGTGGACCCTGAGGCCCTGCAGAAGATGGCCAAATGTGCTGCACAGGAGTATACCCACAAGCATTCCCTATCAGGCCACCCCTACTTACCTGAGAGATACTGGCTTTCTGAAGATGAAGGTAGGGCCCACCCTCTTTTTAACTTTGACCTTAGAAATGACCCCAGCAGTGACCCTCAACTTGAACTCAGTGTGGATCCTTTTCTCCATCCCGGTCTTCTTGTGACTTGGACCACTTCCCTAATCAACCCCTCTATCCCCTGTCCTCATAGCAACCCTTTTCCAGTGGCTTTCTCTGTCTTTATATATTTCCCTCTATAGCCTGGGAATATGTTATTTCTGCCTAAAATGTTTCTTTTATTCTTCTCTTTCACAGAAACATAGTCTATACTCATATCCTTTATGAAAAATTGCCTTTGTCCTTTGGTAAATGTTTATGATCTGTCTGCCTGTCCATTTAAAGACAAAATGTGTCTTATTCATAGCTGTAACCCCCTCCACCATAGGGCTCCATATGCACCTTCATAAATATTTGTTGAATGAAGCGATAATTCCAAGTTCATGCTGGGGGTCAAGAACACTGAAGCTGCGGTGGTGTGTGATTATCACATCCATGGGAACTCTTGGCATTTACCCTCTGAGACAAATCCTGTATTTAACTCTTCTGACCACTCTCCCAGAAACCACCTCCTTTCTTAGCTTCTCTTGGCCTTGTACACTCACAGCAGAAATGTGAGCTTCCTCGGGGTGCGATCCAGAGCCATCATCTCTACTCTTCCCCTTAAGGCCATTTTAAGTGACCCAGCCATGGCTTTAATTACCTTTGCTATTTGGTTGGTTGGTTGGTTTTGGTTTCTCTAATCAGGGTATGTTAGCCCTGGCCATCCTGAGTGCTGGAGTTGAAAGGCCTTCACCTCCACACCCAGTTTAATTACTTTTTAAAACTTTTTCTTTATCTCCCTGAGCATTGGTGTTTTGACTGCATATATGTCTGTGTGGGGTTGTTGTATCCCCAGGAACTGGAGTTACAGACAGTTGTGAGCTGTGGGTGCTGGGAATTGAACACAGGTCCTCTGAAAGAGCAGCTAGTTCAGGCCAACTCTCCAGCCCCATGGCTTTAATTGTGATAATCAAAAATCTTTCAGGCCTTGACCTCTCACTACCATCCCAGTCTTTTGTGCTTTGACCTGGATATTCAAACAGCTCAAATTCAGTATGTCAAAGTCCCTGGTTTAGAACAACAAATGTTAGCATTCCTCCCCTTATCTCTTACAGCTATTTTTCTTGCACTTTTATGGTTTTATAAGATTTTGGGTTAGTTTTGTTATTTTGTTTTGAGACAGTGTGTCACTCTATACCGTTGGCAGCACAGAGTTGCTAAGTAGACCAGTGTGGCCTAGATCCCATAGAGATCTGCCTGCCTCTGCCTCCTGAGAGGCCTCTGCTATAGGAGCTGTGCCACCATACCCAAACACTAGAAACACTTTTATATTTACTAATTTTGCATGTGTGTATGGGGGGTGGGGGTGATAAGCCCATGTCACAGCCCATATGCAGAGGTTAGAGGCCAACCTTGTGGGACCAGTTCTCCCCTTCTATGACGTGAGTCCTGAGGACTAAACTCAGGTTATCAGGTTTGATAGCAAATGCCTTTACCCACTGAGTGTTTCTGTAGCCCAGCTAGCCTAAAATATACAATGTCACCCAGTCTGTTGGTGAGCCTCCAACCTAAGCCCCACAAATGCTGGGATTATAGGAGTGTACCATTAGGCCAAAGTTCTCCTTCATCCTGTCTCTCATCCTGTCTGTCTTTAGACTTTAGGGCAATGGACCATAGAGGGTCTTGTAGGACAGGGTTAATAGATGGGGAAATATGAACACAGTTTTTAACTAGAATATTATCTTGGTTAAGGTTCACTTGTGGAAAAGTATCTTAAATTTATGATGATGTTCGATCGTAGGATCTCAAAGACAGAGAAGGGTACCAGTAGGCTAATCAAAATAGCTTCCTATGTATTCTTTTCCTCCTCCTTTTTTCCTTTTACTCACCCCCCCTTCTTTAGACCCTTTAGACAGGGTTTCTCATGTAGCCCAGAGCTGGCCTTCAACTTAATTTGTACCCAAGAAGGACCTTAAACTGTTGATCCTTCTGCCTCCACCTCCTCAGGACTGTCAAGGCTTTTTGTTTCTTTGTTTTGGTGTTTTTAGTCAGGATATCATATAGTCCAGAATGCCCTTGAACCCAAAGCAATCCTTCTGCCTCCACCTGCTGGAATTACAGGTATGAGCCACTGTGTTCAGCATTCTTCTGTGTTTGTGTAGATTACTCATCTAGACCTCACAACAACCTTACACTTCTCTGCCTGCAGTGCTGAAACCTGAAGCTAGGCACTGTGCCCAGAGTATATCCTGCTAACCATGACAGTATTTTTGTCTCCCGGTGAAGGCAACACAAGGGCAAAGGAATGAAATCATAGAGGAAGAAGGGAGAGATTCAAGTAATTTTAAGGTCGAACAGGCAGACCTTGAGGCCCAGATAATGGTAGAGAGAGGGGAAGCTCCATTTCCAGGCTAGCTGATTCAAAAAGGGTGTAGCCAGGGTGAAATCTAAGAGCCCAATGGATCCAAACCTCGCTCAAAGGTGTCCCTTAGGTGAGGCATGATCTGCAACCCAATGGCAAAAAAAAAAAGTAGTGTTGGTGGTGGGTAGGGCATGGTGTTTCTGGTCTGTAGTCTCAGCGCTAGGCAGGGGAAACAGGAGGATAGACAGACTGAGGCTATCCTGGGCTACACAGAATTTCTGGCTATTTAGCAAGAGCCTGTCTCCAAAATGAGTAAATAAATAGTAGGAGTCTGCAAGTCTGGACTTCAGAACTGGGGTCAGTGAGGATCAGCTTTGTGACAGAGATCAGAGAGGAGACATATAGAAGGTCCCAGGCTCTGGATGGCCTGAGAAGTAACCCTATCTGACAATCTCCACTCTTATGATGAAGAGGACAATTGCTGTACAAGCTACCTGGACAATGACTGGTGCAACCCATGGATGGCAGGTCCATACAACAACTATTGGAACAAGTTCACCACCTGTCTTCCCCCGCTGCCTAAGGTAACGATCTGCGCCTCCCACCACACACACACACACACACACACACACACACACACACACACACACCGTCTCCACATTGCAGTGACCCTTCCCCATCTATGAACTAGGCTGTTCTGTTTTTTAGCTGACAGTGGAGGCCTGGAGTTAAGCTGTGATAGACTCCTGAAGTGCAGTCTCTGACCCAGCTTGGTGGTGTATGGCTAGTTGCACTCCTTGACTCTTCTGAAGCTTGCCTCATCTGATCTGTGACTTCAGTGATGCCCTTGAGTCAGTAATGAGCTAGGTCCTCCCTGCCCCGCCTTGCCCTCCTTTGTGATGGGAACAAAGATGAGGAGAACAAAATACAGAGCCTTCAGAGGAGATGGGGGCCCTGGTGAAGCCCAGACCTTTCTCAGGGAATGTGAGGCAGACCCAAATCCAGACCAGCCTAGCTCAATGTAGGCAGAGAGGGGACTGAACCCCTTTGAAACAGAACCTTTTCGTGAATTGGATTCTACACACACACACACACACACACACACACACACACACACACACGTTCCCCAAGCGATTCTGACAGATAACCATACCCCCTCCCCACGTTGGGGACGTGCAGACGCAAATGGCACATAGGTAAATGCTAAAGTAGGTCTGTCAGAGTCCCAGGCTAAAACACCTCTACCCCTCACCTCTGCGGTGGCTTCTAGTATCCTCACCCTCGCCTGCCCCGCGTAGGTGGAGCAAACGTGTTGCCCAGCAACAATTCCAAACAACCCGGGAGAATAGGGGGCCGCCTAAAGACAGTCTGGGTATTCTGGGCGACATTCACACACACACCAAGAGAAGGCGCGGGAGCAACTGCTTCCCGTCAGAGCTTAAGGCAGCACGTGTGCCACTTCCAGGATGCCAGGGTGGAGACAGTACTGAAAGGAAAAGAAATGCCGCTGGAGTACCCTCCTAAGCCGGAGCGCCTCAACGCCTACGGTAAACCTTGCAGTGAAGAGGATGGCTGAGTGTGAAGGAGAAAGCCAGAGCGCAGGATGGGGGGAGGGGGTCCGGAGGCTCTGTCCCCGTTTTCGTCTCCGCCTCTGGCTCTAACCCTGCTCACCCCACCCCACCCCCCGACACTGTCTTTGGGTATCGTGGACTCTCTGGGCTCAGAGCGCGAGGTGGTGGTGAACATGCTGAACTCGCTGTCCCGGAACCGGACGCTGCCACAGATTGCGCCCCGCTGCGGGTGCATGGACCCTCTGCGAGGCCGCCTGCCGTTCCAGGGATACGGAAGCGCTTGCTGCGGCCGCCACTACTGTTTGCGCGGGATGGACTGCTGCGGCACCGCGGAGCCCAGCGCAGAACGCCACCGGCGGCCTCTCTGCCCTGAGCTACTGTAAGGTTCGCAGGGATTTCCCCGCCTTGGCCGGGCTCCACCCACAAAAGAGCCCCAGCCCCTGGAGTCCTGCCCGGCTCGGTTGCGGTCCCGCATCCTGCCTCACTCTAGCCCTGTTGTTTCCACGCCAGGCCCCCATCGGCTTCTGCCTGCTTGCAGGGCCCCAGGGCACAAGCGAACAGCTAAGACAGAGAACCAGCACGAAGGTTCCTCCCAAGTTCTCAGTCCCGTCTTTTCCAACCGTGCTCAAGGTCAACATGACAAGTGTTTGTGTTCTGGAGATTCTGCAAAAACAGTTTAAGAGGATTTCAAACCCCTCACACCAGTCTCACCCTTTCCTTACACTCACGGCCCTCTAGCCTGTACTGAATGAATCCCTGGTCTGGAGACAGAGGTTCTAGCCCGCAGAATGTTCTCTGAACCCGAGCCTGGGGCACACCATCAGTAGTGGGCAGTCATCGCTGGGGGCAAGGAGGCGGTCACTGCTTTCCCACCGGATCCTTGGCTTCCTTGAGTGTTAAAGCTGAGCCCCAGAGGAGCACAGCCTCCAGCCTTTGTCCGCCGCAGCAGGACAATACGGGTAGAGCCTGGTAGGGAACTTTCAAGTCTGTGACTCATGAGACCTGTCCCTAATCCTGTGATGATCCCCTGCCCTTCCTCAAGCCTGATTTATTGCCAAAGATCGTGTCTTTTCCTCAGAAGGGGTCGGGGTGTGGGAAAGGCTGAACCTCTTAAGCCTAGAAACCCTGCCTACTTCTTGGCACTGAAGAAGTCGCTGTCTTGCTTTCGGAAACGTGGATGGGGAGATGCTGGATCCTAAAGACTATGTCTGATCCTCCCGGAGTCATGGCAGAAACCAGGCTTTGATGGGGAGGGGATTTCCTGGAGCCTTCCTAGAGGCTGTGCTGTAGTGGGGTTTATGAAGGGCAAGGAAGGAACCGATGGACGGATACTGTAACCAGGTTCCTGGTCTGGGAGGTCCTATGAGGATATCAAAAACCCGGACCTCTCTGCTGTTTTTCCATCACTAGGGGGGTCTCAACCTGCGGTCCCTGGCCCGGAATGCAATGTGCTTTTACAACTCCCCTGCCATCATATTACCCATTTCCCAACCTTAGGTAAGTTTGGCGCAGGTACTTGCGTGCTGGAAGCAGTTCCTTTAGTGGGGGTAGCCCAGGAGACTAGCTGGGGTGGTAAATGCTTGTTGCTGTGCACAGACAGGAAATTAAAGCCAGAGGGCGCTCGGTTGCCGTGGGAAGTCAGTGGTTGCTAGAAACCAGAAAACCGCAGAGAGGCCCGCCTTGAGGGACTGAGTTGGCAGCAGGCCTAGACTCAAGGGAATTGGGTTGAGGCTTTATATAATGGGTAAGAAGTCAGGGTTGGAAGTTATGGCTTGAGTATCAGGAATTCAGCGGTAGAGCTTGAAGCCAGTGTGCAGTCAGTGTCAGAGATAAAATGCTAGGATGAGGTTAGTGTTAAGAAATGGAGACAGATTTGTTTCTCCTTGTAGATGGGACACAAGTCACTTTAAGAAGACTGGTGGTCCCCAGAGAAACAACTATGTCGTTCATCCTGAGTTTGTGTCTGAGACCTATCCTGTCTACCATTCCTGGTAAACCTTTGACCAGGCCAAGGGAAGAGGTGGAGCAATAAACTCTTCACCACAAAGACTGCTTCCTGTGTCCTTAACTAGAAAGATCTGGAGGTGCACGCCCCTCCCCAGTCATTGCAGCATACCCCAGAGTCCCCTATCGCCACAGACGCCGAGTCCAGCTGGCCACGTGCGTCTACTTGAAGACCCTCTGGCCAACATGTTCCCGTTACACCCACAGATTCCTCTCACACCTCAGATCCCAGGTCTCTTGTTAGAGCCTCCTGGATGCTCTCTGCTCAGACGCCTTGACGGCCCTCCCCCACCCAGGTCTAAGAGCTTCACAACATAAGTTTGGAAGATCTAACAATCAAAAACCCTCAGGTTGTAATAGATTTGCTCTACCCCTCAAGGGAGGCCACAGGTGGCCGTTCAGGAACCCCTGGGGGTTAGTGTGCTCATCGCTCTTGCACAGTGCTTGCTTCAGGGGAGAAGGTATGGCGCAGCACAGGCATTTCTAACTAAAGGCTGTCACTAATGGAAGGAGGCACACATTCCTTTAGGGGTGGGGGTGGGCATTGCAGAATACTGGGCAGAAACAGAGACATTTCTGGTCTGTTCTGTGAGCACTGGCAGCGTGGAACACAGGGTGTCTGGGTCTCCAAGGCCCCTCTGTGGAGCTCTTAACCCGGCTGTCATCAATAGGAAATGGGAGCACTGGTCATCTCAGAACCATGAAAACTGTGCTTACATTGCGTGTGCTGTGTGACAGAGAGGCCAGCTTGTGGGAGTCTGTCTTCTTGAACTTGATTTGGCAAGCTTGGTGGCAAGCTCCTTTTACCGGCTTACCATCTCTCCAACCTTGTAGTTAAAAGTATCCAGCTGCCCAAACCGAGAGGGAATGGATTCCCAAAGACTTGTGTCCTAGTCCCTGTTTCTGTGACCACGGCATCTCTTATAAAAGAAGGCATTTGATTGGAAGCACTTAGTTGGTAGAGAGAACAGAGGCAGGCAGGCATGGTGTTGGGGAAGTAGCTGGGAGTTCTACATTCTGATCTACAGCTAGAGGATTCTGGACCTGGAATGGGCTTTTGAAACCTCAAAGCCCACCCCCAGAGACACACTTCCTCCAGCAGGGTCACGCTTACTTCAAGACCAAGACCTCCTAATTCTTGTAATCCTTTCAAACAGTGCCATGCCCAGCGCCTAAGCATTCAAATATATGAGCCTATGGGAGCCATTCTTATTGAAACCACCACTGCTGCCTCTGCCTCCTCACCTTGTGGTGCTCTCATACACACAGCAAACCTAGCCTGGAGCTGCCAAAACCCCAACATTCAGAGACTACTTCTTTCTTCAGAACTACATCTCCCATAACGCCTGGGGATGAGCCGGTCTAGCCACGGCATGTCAAGGGCGGTGCCTGAGGCGGGAGGTGGAACTAGGAGGCACCAATCTAGAGGCGGGCCCAAAGGGCGGAGCTGGGGACGGTTAGAAGAAAGTCCTCGCTAGGCACGCAGAGGCTGTGGGGGAGGGGCTGGAGTCCCAGGCCTAAGCCCACATTGGGTGTCTGGGCGTGGCCGAGGGCGGGGCGCAGGAGGGGCTCCGCGGTGCCCTGCCCAGTCAGCACCCCGCAGGGCTGTGGCTGCTGAAGTCCTGCTCTCGTGGAGAGAGGCTCTGCCAGATGAGCCCTTCTCCTCTTCTTCCGTGTGGTGGTCACTGCGGTGAGTGAGCCCAATGGGAGCCCTTTGGAGCCCAAGGGGGGGGGGGGGGGGGGGGGGCGCCCGCGGGGGGGGCCGGGGGGGCCGGGGGGGGGGGGGGGGGGTGCGCTGCCTCAGGAGCGCAGTTCCTGAACTTTCTCTAGTTGGCAGAGCGACCCTGGACAACTGAGCCTTTCCTCGGGTCAGATCTTTCCAGCAGCGGTGACGGGTCCCTTGACCTTCCTCTGCCCCTTTGGACCATGTCGGGTGTGGCGCCACGGGTGGCTGGGGAAGTATTCCAGGCTGTGTTAGTGCGGTCACTTGATCCTTGTGGATCCTGCCCCAGCAGGGGAGGGAGAAGGCAGGATCGAATTGCCTTTGACATTTCCACTCCCTTCCCAACTGTGTCCGACAAAGGACGCTGCCTCGAGTGCCTCAGCTGAGCTGAGCTGGGCCCTCCCCTTAAACTGTAGGCTAGAGGCTGGCAGCCAAGGCTGAGGCTGAGTGTGGAGTGAGCAGGAAGACACGTCCTAGGCTGAGCCTACACAGGCCCGCTCGGCAGGTCCCACCTGCAAGCCTTAGCCGTGGTTGGCCGGATGGCAGACGCGACAGATTACAGGGGTCTTGGACGCCGCTAAGACTGGAGCCACAGAGTTCCTTCTCTCCCGTAGCTGCAATACCAGATGCCGTTAAATTGCCCCTTTTGCACCCCTAAAATCGTCCTGATTTGCCTGCGGCAAGCAGAAGTCGCAGCAGCAGCCCTGGAAATGACAGGCCTCAGCTGTGCACGCCCATCGCTCCGTATGGAAGGTGGAGGCAGGATGTCTGGATTCCTGCAAACTTGCTACGTGAATGACTTCTGAACAGCCCGTTTTCCCATCTGTAAAATGGATACTGATAACAGCAGCTGGCGGTGCCGCTGGTATCGGATGCTGGATAAACATAGAAAAATATAGAGAGCCCCCAACAAAGTGGGCATGTAAGCCTGTGGGCTCCTGTCCTTCAGATCCTAGCGGGTCTCTACCTGAGTGGTGAAAGGGCTTTCGTGGCAGGTGAGCTTTTCAGGATCCCAGGAGTCATGAGGCCAACTTGAGATGTAAGTTTTGAGGCTGGGGGAGTCTTTCCTATTCAGAATCAAACTTTCCCTAGAAAGGAGCCTTGGTTGTATTGAGTGAATAGTAAGTCAGGCTTGGCCCTACAGTCTTCTTGGAAGAGGATTAGTAAAGGACACTGCTACCAACAAAAGGCTACGGGAGATCTAAATTGTGTAGTCAGAGAGGAAGTAAGAGGCTGTTCCAGACTGGGTCTGGGGTGTGACCTGAGAGATGATGGAGCTGTGGGGAGGAATAAGAGAGGGATAAGAGTGGTGCTGAGTAGTATCTTCAAGGATCAAAATTCTCATCTGCACCTGACATGTTTTCTTTCTTTGTTTATTTTATGTATATGCGTGTTCTATCTGCATGTACACCTACTGGACAGAAGAAGGTATCAGTATAGATGGTTGTGAGCCACCATGTGGTTGCTGGGAATTAAACTCAGGACCTCTGGAGGGGCAGACAGTGCTCTTAACCATTGAGCGATTTCTTCAGCCCTGAAATTCTGTTTTTAATTATTTTTATTGTATGTACATTTGTGTTTTGCCTGCGTGTATGTCTGTGTAAGGGTGTCAGATCCCCTGGAACTGGAGTTATAGTTGTGAGCTGCTGTATGGTTGCTGGGAATTGAACCTGGGTCCATCTGGAAGAGCAGCCAGTGCTCTTACCCACTCAGCCACCTCTCCATCTCCCCTGACATTTTTTTTTTTAGATTCATTTATTCTTTTTTTTTTTTTTTTGAGACAGGTTTCTCTGTATAGTCCTGGCTGTCCTGGGCTCATTTTGTAGACCAGGCCAGCATCGAACTCACAGAGATCTGCCTGCCTCTGCCTCCCAAAAAGATGTATTTATTTTTATTTTGTGTGTGTATTTTGCCTGCATGTATGTGTGTGCCTGGTGCCTGCAGCAGCCAGAAAAGGGCATTGGAAGTTACAGAAAATTGTGAGCAGCCATGTGGTTGCTGGGATTGAAACTCTAGCTCCTTTGGAAGTTAAGTACTGTTAGCTGCTGAGCCATCTCTCCAGGCCCTGCACCTGCCATTGCTGACAGATTCTACATGGGAGCATGAAGAGTAGAAGAGCCTGATAGTTTATCACCTTGGAAGTCACTGGAGACAGTCAGACGCTGGCATCTGAGAAGTGACTGTTATCATCTGCCAGTCTCTCTCTCTCCTTCCCCACCTGGGGAGTTAGGCAACCCACTGACTGGCAGCGCCTGTGTACACCTGGCAGGTGCTGTTTCTTTGTTGGACTCTGCCCTGAGGGTTGAGACAGGAATCTCTTCAGCTAGTTAAGACAAACCTTCTGCCAAATCTAAGTTTTCCTGCAGGCATATTTCAGTGTCTAGCATACCCTGTGTGGGCATTTATATATGTGGAGGTGGCCATCTGCTGCCTGAAGAGCAGGTAGGCAAAGGAGACGTTATCAGGCTGGCTGAAATCTACCGAAGCAGGTGACCTGAGGATTTAGGTGAGGGAGGGAATGAGCTTGGTGTCTCTGAATAGGCCTGGCTGGAAATGGAATCAAAAACAGCTGAGCTCCGATGTGTTGTAATCCTGGCCATCCAGAGGTCAGGGCAGGGGAGCACAAATCCAGGGCCACCTTTCTGGGCTGCATAGAAAAGTGGCTGCAAGCATATCATGCCTTGGGCTTTGACTGCAAAACTCACAGTTTCTCTTCTGGGGGCAGAGAAGAAACATGGGCAGAGAAATAGACTTCATAGTAGATGGCTTCGAGCCAGGGAGAGTTTTAAGTTCTAAACGCTAAGAAAAAGCAAGCTCCTTCACCAAGCTCCTGACCCAGCCCTAATGTTGGACCCCAGTCCTACCTTCTTCCAAACCAGTCTCTGTGACTGAATGTGGCTTTGGATGTCTTCTTTAATTTCCACATCTCCACCTGGCTGGACTCAAGATCAGATTCCATGACCAAGCTGTTTCCTTCCCTCTTGTCCTTGCCTCTCTAGAGGCAGGTGAGCCAGCCTACTGCTAAAGGCCTCAAGGAACTGGCTGCATCACTTGCCCTGTCTTACCACGGCCTTCCATGGGGTAGAGTAAGCCCCCTCTTCAGCCAGGGCCTCTTCGGACTTCTTCCAGGGCCAGACCGCTCCTGCGACCCTGGACGGTGCCTTGCTTCTCTGCCTTTGTTTCCCCTCATCCCCACGGCTCTATCCATTCATAGAGCTCTCACTAATGTGGCAAGCAGTGGGTCCTGAGAGAGGGAGGGTAGTCCCACTGACTGTCCTGAACGGGAGCCTTGCCTTTGCCGGTTGTCAAGCCCCTGAGCCCCTCTTCTAGGCTGCAGTAATGGAAATGGGGTGGAAGTTCAGTTTCCTCTCTCTCCCCTTTGCAGACTCCAGCAGGACAGATTCAGATGGTCCTGGTGTGGCAGTTCTTTCCCTGGCTAGGAACTGATGCGCCAGAACCTTCAGAAGAGCCAGGCCTACCCCCGACACCGACCTAGTAGCCACGCAGGCCCCACAAGCCTCCTAGTTATCCCAGCAGCGACCATGTACACTTTCCTGCCCGACACCTTTTCACCCGGCAAACCCAAGCCCACCAAAGAGCTGAGGCCTCTGCTGGGCTCCGCGGCCCTGGGACTGATGCTGGTGCTGGCAGCAGTTGTGGCCTGGTGCTACTACAGCGCTTCACTGCGCAAAGCCGAACGCCTGCGCGCAGAGCTGCTGGACCTGAACCGAGGCGGCTTCTCCATCCGGAACCAGAAGGGTGAGCAAGTCTTCCGCTTGGCCTTCCGTTCAGGCGCCCTGGACCTTGACTCCTGCAGCCGGGAGGGTGCCCGGCTCGGCTGCTCCCGAACAGCCGATGGGCGCCCGTTGCACTTTTTCATTCAGACTGTGCGACCCAAGGACACTGTCATGTGCTACCGCGTGCGCTGGGAGGAGGCTGCACCGGGGCCTGCTGTGGAGCATGCGATGTTTCTGGGAGATGCCGCAGCGCACTGGTATGGCGGTGCAGAGATGAGGACCCAACACTGGCCCATCCACCTGGAGGGCCAGCAGGAACCGCAGCCTTTCGTCACGAGCGACGTCTACTCTTCTGAGGCGGCCTTCGGGGGCATCCTCGAGCGCTACTGGCTATCTTCCCGCGCCGCCGCCATCAAGGTCAATGACTCAGTGCCCTTCCACCTGGGCTGGAACAGCACGGAGCGTTCGATGCGACTGCAGGCACGCTACCACGACACGTCTTACAAGCCACCCGCTGGCCACCCTGTGGGGCCGGAGCTCAGCTATCGCGTGTGCGTGGGCTCCGATGTCACATCCATCCACAAGTACATGGTTCGGCGTTACTTCAACAAGCCGTCCAGGGTACCGGCGTCAGAGGCCTTCCGAGACCCCATCTGGTCCACATGGGCGCTGTATGGGCGCGCCGTGGACCAGAACAAGGTGCTGCAGTTCGCCCAGCAGATCCGCCAGCACCGCTTCAACAGCAGTCACCTGGAGATCGATGACATGTACACGCCCGCCTACGGCGACTTCGATTTCGATGAGGGCAAGTTCCCCAACGCCACCGCCATGTTCCAGCGCCTGCAGGATGCTGGCTTCCGCGTCACCCTTTGGGTGCATCCGTTCGTCAACTACAACTCGTCGCGCTTCGGCGAGGGCGTGGAGCGCGAGCTGTTCGTGCGCGAGCCCAGCGGCCGGCTGCCCGCGCTGGTGCGCTGGTGGAACGGCATCGGCGCCGTGCTGGACTTCACGCGCCCGGAGGCCCGGGACTGGTTCCAGGGGCACCTGCGGCGCCTGCGGGCCCGCTACAGCGTGGCCTCCTTCAAGTTCGACGCGGGAGAGGTCAGCTACCTGCCCCGGGATTTCAGCACCTTCCGGCCTCTGTCCGACCCCAGCGTGTGGAGCCGGCGGTACACCGAGATGGCGCTGCCCTTCTTCTCGCTAGCCGAGGTCCGCGTAGGGTACCAGTCCCAGAACATCTCCTGCTTCTTCCGCCTGGTGGACCGCGACTCGGTGTGGGGCTATGACCTGGGACTGCGCTCTCTGATCCCTGCGGTGCTCACCGTCAGTATGCTGGGCTATCCGTTCATCCTGCCCGATATGGTAGGTGGCAACGCGGTGCCGGAGCGCACAGCCGGCCGCCAGGACGGGCCGGGGCCCGAGCGCGAGCTCTACGTGCGCTGGCTGGAGGTGGCCGCCTTCATGCCTGCCGTGCAGTTCTCAATCCCGCCCTGGCAGTACGACGCAGAAGTGGTAGCCATCGCGCACAAGTTCATGGCGCTCCGTGCCTCGCTCGTGGCGCCCCTGCTGCTCGAGCTTGCTGGGGAGGTCACCGACACCGGCGACCCTATCGTGCGCCCCCTGTGGTGGATCGCGCCGGGGGACGAGACGGCGCACCGCATCGACTCCCAGTTCCTTATCGGGGACACGCTGTTGGTGGCACCGGTGCTGGAACCTGGGAAGCAGGAGCGTGACGTCTACCTGCCCGCCGGCAAGTGGCGCAGCTACAAGGGGGAGCTTTTTGACAAGACGCCAGTGCTACTCACGGATTACCCTGTCGACCTGGATGAGGTCGCCTATTTCACCTGGGCATCCTGACCCAGCTCAGAACCCAGGAATCCCGCAGCCCTACTCCCAGCCTTCATACAGACTTGCAATCCTCCACCATGGTGAACCTTCAGGAAGCCCCTACCTCTACACTACCTAGGAAGTGGGCAAGTGGCTTAAAAGCGCAATAGCTCACAGCTGTAGGCGAGACGTGGGAGAGGAGGTGCTGAAACAACCGCTCCTGTACCCGCGCACAATCCTAAGAGCCCTCTTACCCGCACACTCACTCCACTCTACGCAAACCCTCCTCCCTGGATGGAGGCCAGAGAACTCAGAGGACAAAGGTCTGCTCTTTCCTACACAGCCTGCTTTTAAAAGCACAGAGAAAGTTGGGCGCGGTGGCACACGCCTGTACTCCCAGCACTCTGAGAGGTAGAGAGAGGCAGGTGGATCTCTGTGAGTTCTAGGCCAGCCCAGTTTACTCATGCCCAGGCCATCCAAGGCTACACAGAGAAAGAGAAACCTGTCCTCTCCCTGCCCTTTGTAGCCATCTTTGTCCACTGAAATAAGGAAATGATTCTCTTTAAAAGTTCTGAAATAGTTTTCTACCATATTAAAAAAAGTGTACCTTTAAGGTGGGCTGTGGGTGGCACACACCTTTAGTTCCAGCACTGAGCAGGCAGAGGCAAGCAGTTTTCTGTGAGTTCGAGACCAGCCTGGTCTACAGAGCAAGATCCAGGACAGCCAGGGCTACACAGAGAAACCCTGTCTCAAAAGATGAAAAAGACAGCAGCCAGGCCATGAGTTCACAGCACACACCTGAGCCGTGAGTGACCTGGTCCCACTCCATCTGGAGCAGAAAAGATACAGATGTTGCATTTGGCCAGCCTTCAAGGAAGTCAAAGGCCTCTTCCCAAGCAGTAGGAGAGCTGAGCTGAGCCTGCACTAATTGTCTCTGTTTGTGAAGAGACTCTACACTGCACTAACCTGTTTGTGGATATACTGGACTCAGCTTTGGACCCAGCCCTGGGCCAGATGTGGCTGGACTCAATGCCTTAATTCAAGAACCTGTATCTGTGTGCATGTGTACACACATTCATGTCACACACAGAGAGGTACTCACCACAGCTCTCTGAATTTACAGGATGAACGGAATGCCTCTGAGACTAACTAAAGAAACCTAGATGAGGGTGTGGGGCAAACTCAGGGCTTTGGGAGCTGAGCTAAGCCCTTCCCAGGTAGTTTCCCCAAGAAGATGCCAGGCCCAGGCTAAGAGTTTAAAGCTCCGTGTTTCTAACTCTAAGGAGCTGACTCAGTAGGAAGGCACTTACTGGCAAGCCTGACAACCTGAGTTCAATCCCAAAATCATGTTGTAAAAGGAGAGAACGTAGGAAATAAACGGCCCTTTAAGATTATTTAGCTGTCTCACTGTACATATGCTTTCAAGAATGTCCTAAGGGGGAGCCATATTGTTATTCTGGCAGTGATGTGCTTGGCATATGAAAGACACTACACACTGGCTGACCCCCAACACACATGTGGGGTCAAGTCTTTCATCCCAGCGACTCTGTTGTAAGGTCACCTCTAGCCATGGGGAGTTTTTCCCAGCTAAGTCTGGAGGAGTGTCAGACAAGGGAAGCGCTAGCTTCCCTCGGCGGCGCTGATGACAGCGCCTGCGTCCCAAGTCCTTCACTTCCTCTGCGTGCAAAGTGCCGGATGAAAGCTTCAGGACTCTCACAGACACCCATCTCCAATGCCAATTCTTTTTCTTTTTTTCTTGCAATGTTGAAGATAGAACCCAGAGCCCCAAGCAAGCACTCTTGCAGTGAGCTCCGTCCCCAGTCTTCATTTGTCAACCAACTGCTTAACACCACTGAGACTCAGTTTTTTTCTACATAAGTGATGATGAGGCCTACCTCTATGGTCAAGATAAGCACAGATGTATGTAAAGTGCCTGGCACAAAATAGGTGCTCAATAAAAGATAACTGTTGTAGTAGTGTTTGTTGTTTTCTTACTTAAAAACAAGGATTTTTCTGGGGTTTTAAAAGACTTATTTTATCCGGGTGAGGTAGTATACACTTTTGATCCCAGCACTCAAGATGGCAGAAGCAAGTGGATCGCTCTGAGTTCGGGGCCATCCTGGTCTACAAAGCGAGCCTAAGGCAGCCAAGGCTACACAGAGAAACCATGTCTCAAAAACAAAAACAAAAACAAAAAAAAAAAACCAATTAAATAAATAATAGAAGTAAATAAATAAAGTTATTTTATACATCACTGTATTATGTACCACATGCATACACTTGTGATGGTCAGAAAAGGGCATCAGATCCCCTAGAACTGGAGTTATGGATGGTTGTGAGCTGCCATGTAGGTGCTGGGAACCAAACCAAGGTTCCCTGTAAGAGCAAAAAAAATGCTCTTAACTGCTGAACCATCGCTTCAGTCCCTTCTGGCCTTGTCCTGTTCTCCATCCCTGCCATTACCTCTGTGCAGTCTGGCTTTGTCTCATTCACCATCCATTGGATCTGGGACACCTAGCATTGCTTTAAAAGGCCTCCAGCAGCCTTGTAGCAACAGTTCAGCAGTCTTCTCTGCACCTAGGCTGTTGTATGTGTGTTGGTGGGCATGACATGCAGCAATCAGGAGGTGAGGGCCTGTATGGTCACTGAAGGGGACTTGGGGATGGAGTATGAATGGGTTGAGCTTTAGCCAAGTAGGTTTTCTGAGAAAATTTTGGCCACAATTCCCTGACTTGTGAGTACAGTATCTCTGATTCTTGCTCTGAATCCAGAGCAAGCATTCTGATCGCTGGCCTCTTCTTCCTCTGGGTACTGTTGAACAAAGCACTGGCTCTTTACTTGGCTCTCCAGGTGCCCAGTGGGTTAATTATAAAGCATAACAAAAGCTCAGAAGATGCCTCCATTCTGCACCTATTTTCTTGCAGTCTATCGGATTCCAGGAGCAACAGAGCCCCTGGAGAAACATCCGTGACAAGGATCAAAACTTCCCCCTACTCCCAAGCAACTGAACAAGGCCTGCCAGACCAATCCTGAGATAACAACCGCGGTTTGACCACGGCTGATGAGTACATGCTCCTTGTCCTGCCCTGTGTAAGCTGGGAGCTCCTATGAGCACCTCTAATGCCAGGGCTGAGGACACTGGCCCTCTTGTCTTCCTGGTATAGTTATCTGATTAACGTTCCTTTCCTGGTTTTCCTTTCTGTTTTGGAGTCAGATTTATTAGGATCCCTGGTCTGGCCTCTAAGACTTGGGCATCCTTCCCCACATCAGACCTTGTCAGCCACATTGCACCGGTCTAAGCCACACAGTATGTCTAGGACCATACTACCCAGAACAAGTCTGATCTTGTCCAACCTACATGGAAGTCAAGGAATGCTATGCAAAGGTCAGCTGTGTCCCTTTCTGGGTGTCGATTCAGGCTCTGGTGTCCAAGCCTGCAAAGATCTGCTCCTCTCACTCTTCTGGTTTTGCCCATGTACTCAGGCACATCCAGTAGATTTTAAAAAGCATTTGAAGAAACACTTCCTGTGTTCTGAGGACAACTACACAACTATCCCTTGACAGGAGAGGTCTGCTCAGGCTTAGCCTTGAAGGAAAATGCAGGGGCAGCTGGGTAGTCACTTTTTCTTCCATCGTTTGGCTCCAAGGGTTTCTAATGACAACCCTCACAGGGTACATCCCAGCTCTCAGGGCACAGCCTGGTTTGGTTTTGTTTTTTAATCTTAAAGCTAATCATTTACTTCAGCAAGCCCAAAGATCTTCCCAGCAGCTTGATAAGAGGGGAGCTATTCAGCTTTAGCTGGCAAGCCCTGAGCTTGCTCTAAGTGGCCTGGGAGGAGATATGGAAAAGACTCAGAAGGAGGCCCTGTTCCTGGGTGTTCCCAGTCTAGAGGACAGGGAAGTTGAACCCTGGTGCTCCGAGGTTTTGGACTGTTCTTCCTCTCCTAGGTGGCTTTCCCACTGCAGGTTACACAGTCATGAGTGGGATGAGGGTTGTATACAAATAGTCCAAGTTCTGACTGCCTACCTAAATCATGGCCTCTTCAGGAGGCAGCAGGAGGAAGCTGCCACCACCTTCTAGCCCTCAACTAGTAGAAGCCTGGGTCAGGCCAATGGCTGAGACTGTTGAGCCTGTTGGACAGGAGGCCTGCACCATGAGCACCTGAATAGGAATTTCTGTTATAATCTCACTACTTTAGGTCTTCCATTCAGCAAACGAATTCCTTCTGTGGAAACAGAAGTCATTTTCAAGATCAAGAGGACATTTTGATTTCCTGGAGCCTCTGTGCCCTAGGAAAGGAAAACTTAGTAGGAAACCTTGTAGGGTTAAGTCTGTCAGTTGCTTCTTCATCATAGGTGGAGGAGGTGGAATCAAGGAAACAAAACAGGGGGTTCCAGAAGGAGCTCCTTTGGGTACTAGGCTGGATGGTTACTGGGGAAAGCTTCCAGGAGTTCCTGCTCTAGACTTTCGAAGGCCCCACATTGAAGAAGATATTGAAGCTTTCCCTTCCTTCTGTCCTTTGACAGGCAAAACCACGTGTAAAATCATGGAGGTCAGCCTCAAGCCTCTCCACTGCCTCAGACCTTTTCCCAGGCACCAGGCAGGTGGCCGCCTGCAGACCAGGAGGAAAGGTTGGTCATCTCATGAACATTCTTCTTTGTGCCTGAGGTATGAAAAGAGATAAGGGCCACTTCCTAAACATCCTAGTCCTTATGAGGCAGGCCTGAGTCAGTTCAGTTTGTTCGGGTCCAGAGAATTTAGTCTGTTCTACTTAGGATTCCCTCTCCCCTTTTCAGGCCTAGGATTGGCTTTCCAAACCCATTATGTTTAAAGTCTGCTCTTAAATACTCCATTAAGCTGTGCCTTCATCCTGACAACTGACAATTCTACCTGGACCCAACATTTTCCAGGCATGGCTTGGAAACTAGACTAGAACTTTATAGACTCTGTGCAGTGTGAGGCTTAAAGTGCCTACCTCAAAACATTTTATCAAGTTGTGCTTTTTTGTTTAAGTTTCTTAGAAAAATCAAAGGCAAAACTCAATTTACTTTCTTTTAAAATTGTTATTCTAAATTTTTGAGACAGGTGATCATGTAGCCCAGACAGGCCTCAGACTCACTATATAACTGAGAACGGCCTTGAACTAACTCCTCCTCCTGCACTCCACCATATTTGGCTTTTTTTTTTTTCTTAGACAGGTTTTCATACTGTACCACAAGCTGACCTCAGACACTATATAGTCTGTGCTAGCCTTGAAATTGAACCAATTATCCTGCCTCAGACACTCAAGTGCTGATATTAGAGGCATGAGCTATTATGCCAGGCTTAAAATATTTTTTAAAGGAATTAGCAAAAGAAATGTAAAGCTATACAAAAAGACATATGATACAGAGATAGTGAGCTGTTATCTCACTGGGTAAAGTGTGTGTGCTCTGCAAGCTGGACAACTCAGGCAATCGCTAGGAACCACATAAGGGTGGAAAGGAGAACCAACTCCACAAAGTTACCTCTGCCCTGCAAGTGGCCACTGCAGGACACATGCCCCCCTTGCTCCCAACCTGAACACCACGCACGCACACCCACCCACGCACACGGGCACACACAATAGAATTTTTTTTTAATTGAAAAAATGATGATAATTCAGAGACTAAGAGCAGCTCTTTCAGAAGAGCTAGTTCATGGATCGTGAGCATCCGTCACTCCAGTTCAAGGTGTCTTGATGCCTTCTGGCCTCTCAAGGCTGTAAGTGCCCAGCACGTGCGCAGGTGCACGGAGGCAAATCGCAATACAGATTTTTAAAAAGGAAAAAGATGGAGCTCAGCGGAATGGGTTTGAGAACTCGGCAGTACACCTTGCCTGCATGGTCCAACAATCTGTGTGTGCATGGCACTGAGCCTCCTGTATGCGAAGCAAACGTTCCACCACTGAGCTACATGAGCTACAGTCCCAGCTCAGGGATCATCTTTCTTTTAGTCTTTTTCAAAGAATGGTTTGGGTGGAGGGTTTCAGTCTGGAGAGAAAGCTTGGCAGTTAAGAGCTCTTGCTATTAGCCCAAAGGACAGGGGTTTGGTTCCCAGTACCCACGTCAGGTGGTTCACAACCACTTGTGATTCCCTCTTCGTGTCTCTGTTAATACCTGCATACACATAGCATTCGCCCATACAGACACACATAAAAAAAATTAAAATCTGTTTGTTTGTTTGTTTGTTTGTTTGTTTGAAGACAAGGTCTCACTGTGTGGCCCTTACTCACTTTGTAGGCCAGACTGACCTCAAACAGAGCTCTGCCTGCCTAAGCCTTTCTAGTGCTGGGATTAAAAACATGTGCCCCACACCCTGTGGATCTTTTTATTGTTGTTATTTATTCATTTTAGAGAATAGTTTAGTACAGGGAGCCGAGGGCTGAACTAGGGGATACATTGCCCAAGAATCTCTCTCTCTCTCTTTTTTTTTTTTTTGACAGTCTTTCTATTATGTAGGCCTGGCTGTCCTGGAACTCCCTGTGTTGGCCAGACTGGCCTGGAAGTCCCGGAGATCCATCTTCTCTGCCTCTCAAGTGCTGGCATTGAAGGGGCGCACCACCACACCTGCCTGCAAAGATCAGGGATCATCTTATTAACAACTGGCACCGCAACAGCAGAGTACTCACAAGCAAAGTATGATTGCTGTTGGGTCCTCTACTTCCTATCACATAAAATAATAATTCAAAATGTGCCACATGCCTAAATACAACAGAAATCTAAACTCCTAGAAGAACTGGTCCTGGTGATGAAGGTCTGTAACCCCAGCTCCTTAGGAGGAGGCAGAAGGATCACACATCAGTACCTGCCTGGGTTCCAGTGAGTTCACCATCAGTCTGGGCAATTTAGTGTGACATTGTCTCCAACATAAAATGAAATAATGGGTGGGGACATATCTCAGTGGCAGAACATTTCCCAGCACACATGAGGCTGGATTCAATTCCTAGTACCGAAAT